TTCTCTCTCTCTCTCTCTCTCTCTCTCTCTCTCTCTCTCTCTCTCTCTCTCTCTCTCTCTCTCTCTCTCTCTCTCTCTCTCTCTCTCTCTCTCTCTCTCTCTCTCTCTCTCTCTCCTTGCGATGAGTTCATAAAACACACGTATGATGGAGTGAAAATGTACAACGCATTGCCAGCCGAGGTAAAGAGTTATAAGAAAATAGAACTGTTTAAACGAATGTTTAAACAGCATATTACAAGGAATGTAAATTAATGTATATCACAAATAGCTAAGAGAGCTAATAAAGATCCGTCAGTCCTTCTTTTTCTTCCCCCCTCCTTCCTTCCTCTTTATGCAAAATGACAATGCAGTCTACGGCGTTCTCGAAGAGGGAGAACCCTAAAAAAAACCTTCCTTCCCCATTCCTTGCCGTACGGAGAGAGAATTCTAAAATTCTTTTACCTAATCTAAATAAAAAAAAAGTAGCGGAAAGATGTGTGCCGGCACGATCCAGAAGTTTCTCGGTTTCTGTCACATAGATTACCGAGTGTTCGGAAATTTACTATCGTTTCTCAAGCTCAATTGCTCACTTGACCCGGCTAAATTGGCGGCATCGCCGTTTATTGTCGCGGATTATGTTGATACAAATTTTATTGAGACGTCTGTAACAAAACGATTTCGGACTTGACGGACCTTTTATCGTCGAAAATTGAGGAAAAATACTTATAAAATGAATCTCAAGTACATCCGCAATATATGTGATACATTATCAAGAGTAATGAAAACGTTTCTGCGAAAAATGGACAGTTGCAGCAAGAATCTTACAGTTGGAAAATTTGTGTTTTCTCGTTAAAAAAAATGCCGGTTAAAATTTTTGTGTTAAATGTTTAACATACTCGTGTATTTTATTTATTAATTTAACACATTGCTCTTGTGTTACGTGACCTCAAATGTAAAATTATTAAAGTAGCTGCAAAGAAATGTTAAAACAGCACAATATGTACTTATTTTCTAATCTGACACAGTACATGTTCTATATTATTAGTAACAAAATTTATCTGTTAAAATTTACAGAATAAAATCTTGATTTTATTCTATATAACATAAGTGATTTCGAACCGTCATTTCACTTATTACATCTGTAAAATGTAAAAATTACATGTTTAAAAATTTATTTTGTCATTAAAAATATGTTAATTTTACACAAAATTTATGTCAAATTATTTTTTAGATTTGCATTTATTTTGTGTCAAAATATTAACAGAGTAGTAGTGTGATCATTTAGCATATCCATATTATGTT